AGAACGTATTTAGGCCATGAGAAATCGCGATAGCTATAGATAAACCTAAACTAAAATTAGGTCCTTACCTATTAAGTTGAAGATTTGTATTTAATTTTAAAATATAACTCAGAAGCTAAGAGTATATGGTGTTTCCACTAAAAACCATCACGACGGCCGGCCTCAGATGCCCTACTTTGGGAGGACCCGGACCATGTTGTTAGGGGTCCTCCCCGAATTGACACTTGACACACATTGCCTAAACAGGCCCTATCCCAGAGGGAAATACTTCCAGTAAACATCATCATCATCAACAGCCTTTAATAGTCCACTGCTGGACATAGGCCTCTCCTTAGAAAGGAGGTTTTACTATACCACACTGGCCAGACGGGTTGGTATAGGGCTTGTGTCAAGTTTTCCTTCTCCCTGCAGTGCTGTAGTTCTGCGTAGTTTTCTCCCTTAGTCGGCTCTTACGACACTCACGGGATGAATAGGGGTGGTGACACCCTGTATTCTTAATCTGTCACCACACGGACCTTCCAATAATGCGGAAGCCTATTACCGTCAACCAGGTACAGAAAGTTCTGATAAACACACTTATAAATTTCTAAACACAGGCATGTAGGTAAAACCTACAGGTTTTATATAATTGAAATTACGAAGGAGGTTCACATCTCAAATAATATGCTAATAATTTTATTGTCTGACCCGGCAAATATCTAAAATATTAAAGAGAAAAGCCAAGTAAATATTACATACCTATATACAAAACCGAATAATTCTATTCATCCCGTACTACTAACCAACCTTAAGTCACAAATTCCCAAAACTAATTAAGCAAATAGAACCCAAGTCTATCCTAATCCCTAACTATTTAAACTCCACAATCCTGTATTAATTTTAGTGATGGGACATGCTGGGACAATGGCTAATTAATATTAATATCGGTCAGGGATCATATCTAGTGTATGAATAAATAACAAGCACGTTGTTAAGCTGAGTGAAAATTATCAATTTCCCGGCCAGTCCTGTACCGTCGCAGGACGGTACAACCCTTAAGTTTGGGACTGTTTGACTTCGTAGGGTTGTCTCTGTCGTATTTTACGGTATGTCCATACTTCATAGAGTATTTTTTTCTTCATTAAAACATGATCATTTTTAGCATCTAGCTAAAAATCTGCTATGCTGTTCCGCGTTTGCCTGCTATGATTAGACTATTTTCACGCCTAAATAAGCTATCACATATTAATGATAGCCAGAGCTTTAAACCCTGTTTAATACAAACATGTCATAATATATTTAGTACAGGCAATCGTGCTTTAGCGCTCTCATAAGTTTGTCTATAAAGCCACAAACAGGAAAATCGTTTACAGGATCTGTATCTCAAAAACCAAAGAATTTTCATTTCTGCCTAAATTTCTTCAACTAAATGTATAATTGACATCTTCGATACATTACAAATAATAGCAACCAAGATCTAAAATAAGCGATAGATCGTTTGTCGTAGCGTGTCCTGTAAACAATTTATCCAGTGGCAACCCTCCCTAACCCCTTCCCCTCCGGGCGCCGGGCGTCATATCAAGTACAACATAAAAGCAATTCAGCAAATTGTTATTGACATGTTAATAGTTTGAATGTCGTGATGTCGCTAACCCTCCACTAAAACCTTTATGGATATGCCTCAACACAGTTGATACTTGCTTACTCGGTCTACACGACCGGAATAGAGATTGTTTAGAGTTAAAGGGTTAATTTTGTAATATGTTACGTGTTTAGGGTTAATTTGGCTTAATGTTAACGTTAAGTGAATATTGCTTCTTACAACATGGGATAATTAAGATGCTGTATAATTATTAAATTTTGTATCCACTATATTGTTGTCAAAACCTCCTTTTTAAGGAGAGACCTATGTCCAGCAGTGAGCTAGTTAAGGCTTTTGATGATGATGATGAATTTATAGTTGTAAGATATTAGCTGCAACTTGTGCATTTAAATATATGCCATTATAAAACTATTACTGAAGTTTCAATCACATTCTTTCATTTGTTTCTTTGAGGTCCTTGGAAAATGCTTAACCGCTTTAAAAGGAGTTTTTGAGTTAAAGGATAGATATTGTCGGCAAGAAACTTTTGACCTACGAAAGACTACTGCTAAACAATCTAATATTGTGATAATCGAGTCAATGTCGCACCCTCACTAGGTAACCTAACACCACATCCGCCATCCATCCACCACATCTTACCTAATATACATCTGTACCTATTCGTGAATGAATGAATCGAATTCATATCTCGGAGAATGTCTCCTCCGAGATATGACAATGTCTCTTCACGAAAACGTAGAAGTCGCAAACAAAACAAAAGAAAGTAGAGTGAGTAGAGATATTCGAAACGTAATAACCAGAGTTCACAATTCAAACAGTAGGCAAATATTTTTAAATATGGATGAGTATTTTTTTATACAAGTCTCCATAGTTTTGTAATTGGTTGATTCAGTTTTAAAGAGGTTTATTTTGAATTCTTTGGTGAGTATCCCTTATGAGGTTGTTTTGTTTTCCTTTGGTTACATTTGCAAAGTGTTGCGTAACTGCTGAATAGACTTACATTCGAATTTAAAATACTACTTAGAATTATTATCTAAGTGCTAATTAATTGTAAAGCATTTTATGGTATATTTCAATAATTTTAATTCTTACTATCACTAAACATCTCACCTATTGTTATAGAAAATTGTTAATAAATAAATTATATTATCAATACATCTTTCAATACAAAATAATATTATATTAACCCTTTATTCCTCTAACAACGTCCCAATTAGCAAATACAATTACCTGTACTGCATCTCAAAGATGTCTGTAAAGTCAGTGTTCTGCCATGTTGGAGATAATGAATATAGCCGGGGGACATCACTACTGTTTGTGCAACCCGCCATCTGTCACAACCCTTCGGGGTACGGAGACTACGATTTTCGTCAAATGTAGACATTCTGGTAAAAATGTTCAAAAATTGACATCACTTCAACAGAAACTTCAACACCCTACACTTGACAGTGTGAACTTATGTAAAAACAATAAGGGAAACGTATGGGTACGTTGCAGATGGTGAGTTAAATATGCGGTGTAAATAGGCTCGACGAGATCCGTCGCGAGTACGTCCGTATAAACTTAGATTTGCTTGACATCGCCAATAAAATGCAAGAAAGCAGGCTGTGAGAGTACGGTCACATAACGAGCAACCATCATTATCATCATCACTGCATTCATCGTAAAATTATCGCTAACAGCTGTTAAGCTGGGCAGAAAGAAACATCCAGATATTCACAAATAACTTGCTAAATATGCTTTTAAGCCCAGGACATTTAATAAAATACGTCTGTTATACATATTATTTATTTAGCTAAATGTTTGGTCACCCCGGCGACTCTGTATAAATAATTCAAGTCATCAAGGGTCGATTGCGGGCAGGCTCCAACTTAAAGTTTGTTTACCAAACATCATATCCGAGGGATTTTTGACCTTCAAGGTAAATATTATTATTTTTCAGTTAGATCTCATACTTGATATTATTGGAGGCGATTGTAGTTTTTATTACTTGGTTCCTTCATGCAGTGCTGTCAACTTGACAAATTATTTAACTCAACTGATTCTATAATGTGATGTGATAGTAGGCCAAAACCTCCTTTCTATGGAGAAGCCTATGTCTAGCGGTGGACTGTTAAAGGCTGTTGATGATGATGATGATGATTCTACTGAATGATTGAATAACAATTGTGTGACGTGACTAGAAATATTTTTAACGGGGACTTCATACACACCACAGATGTAGACAAGAAGGATTAAAGTTGGTACAACAAAATTGCAAATCTGACGCTATCTTGTAGCTGGCAAAATTTATTCAAAGTGCCTGAAAGCAAATTCATCCCTCCAAGAAATTATTTTTTCGAAACAAATTTTGCTAAGTTGTTTATAAGTATGTGATTATTGATTTAATTAAATGAAAACCCTAATAATTTATTTTAATTCTGAGAAGCCAAGTTGGGAAGAAAGATAATAAAATATTTCTAGGTAGGCACATAATTTAAAGTCTTTATATATAATACAAATTTTAACATATGCGGGTAATCTAAAGGCCGATAGAGATAAATTTTTACTTTCTTACTCATTATTCTGCCTAAAAATCAAATAAAAGTCTGCAACCCAAAGTGAATACACTCATCATATACATTTAATCTCACTTAGCAAAATTTCTTAATACCTAAATCCGACGACAAATTTCGTACTAACAGGAAAATCTGTGTAAAATGATTTACGCCCAAAAAACGACCGACTTACAAACCACAGCCGTCGCCATCGCTTACATCCCTAAACAAGACATTTAATTACCAGTAATTTATCGCTGCCACACTAATCCGCGAAAGATAGACGATGCACAAAAAAATTAAAAAAATCTATCCCCTTGATTACAAGCTGTCACGTCGTAGGATTTTTCCTAAGCCCTCATTTTAATTAGTCATGTCGGTTTGTACGCATCTCGAGTGGCGAACATCCATTTTCTTAACTACTGTAATTGGCCCCCACCTCGTGATGTTGCCAGCCACAAAATTTATTGCTTAATTACCTCAAGAAAACGCGTCGCGCTCAACATTCCCGACAGATGTTTTTTATTCACCGCGGAAAAACAAAAACGGTTTAAGAATGACATTAATTAATTCTTAATGAAATTCATCTTCACCCCTGGTTTGTTTTAAATTAAACGGTCGATTTATTGCTTGTACAATTTGTCGCTTACCCCGCCCGCGTAATTAAAACACGGCACTCAGTTATTTTATATTATTTATTAGCGGGACACAACATGTTTTGTAAAACGTTTCATTTTATAAGACAGTTGATTTTAAAAATAATACTAACTAGATAAATGCTTTTAAAATGTTAGTCTTCACACGGGTTTGAGTGCGTTTGTGGCTATTTTTCAAATGTATTGTTTGAAAAACGAGTCACAAACGACGTTGCATTCCGTGAGTTAATATTTTCTTTGATATGGTTCATCAACATGACCGTGGAATAAGGTTTCATCATATCTGAGGTAGCTATCGTCGTGTCTTACTACATCTTGAAAGGCCTTGTGCGCAATAGGTTGATTGTAAGTATCAACACTTTCATGATACTGATGACTGTTTATAAGATTTTTATTAGCATTTATACCTGTCTTAAACTTATCTTCATTTTGTGGTAAAATTGGTGTAGGTGTTACTTTGTCTTCAACTTTTTTATCTTTGTTCGCGGTTCCAGCTCCTGCCAGGTCTCTATAATTGCGTTCATCTTTCCTTAATGGCGCGTAAGGATATCTACTTCTAAATCTATAGTCGTACCTTCCGTTTCTCGCATATAAGTCATCATCATAGCGTCTATAGGGATCCATGGTATATCTATACCTCAAATCCACACTAGGCGGTGTCCGAACTACTTCAGGCAAATGAGCATAATAAATAATTCTTTTTGGTTTTCTAGGTATGTAATTGTCGTAATTGTCATCGTATCTATCTATTCGAGAGCCGTAAGGGTTATAACGCCTGCGGTCAATCATGTCGTAATAAGGATCTCTTCTATAGAGGTCGTCTGGTACTGGATAATATCTGTCATCATAGAAATATCTTCTTGACTCTTCTGGAGCAGGCTGGTTGTAGACAGCTTGCCTTGGATATACCGGTTTATACGCTCTATCTCTTTCCTCATCAGGTCTTACAAATTCTGTTCGTAGCTCATCTGTCCTCGTACTTCTCTGAATAGATTCCTTATCGTTACGAGATTCCGAAGCTTCCAGTGCTTTGTTCTGAGTCACAAAGTTGACTCTTGGCATTCGTGAGTTGATCAGATCTCCAGAAGGTTGTGGAGGAGTCAGAATATCGTCTCTTTGATCTCTTTGTAATTGATCTCTTTGTAGTTGATCTCTTTGTAATTGATCTCGTTGTATTTGGTCTCTTGGTAATTGATCTCTTTGTAATTGGTCTCTTTGATGTTCATCATGGCCAGATAAGGGCAGTTTGATCCAATTTTCGTTTGAAGCTCTTGCACCCCGTCCTGTAGGTTTATCAGTAACTCGTTCTGTAGTTTGATATAAGGGCAAAACATCCTTAACTTCGTTGGTGATAGAAATTCGGGTAGTCGGGTCTTCTTCAGGTGGCAAAGGCCCAGGAACCCAGGGTTTGTTTAAATGTGAATCTTGTTGTTGTGTGTGAATGTTATAGTATTTTTCCTCCTCAATCACTCCACGACGACCTCGGACCGAATCTGATTCCAAATGGACCTGAAACGTATATTAATGGTTTGTTAGAAAGTGAGAACTCATTGATTTACAGCGTACGTATAATATATTGTTAAAGACATAAAAACAAACGTCTGCAAACTGTTGAAAGGTTTAGGTATTCGAAAATGTTTCTTTACAAGCATTCCTGTTTAACTTTGAGTTCTAGTTTTAATTTAAACATCTAAAATATTTACTTGTTTAAACTAATTTTATATGTTTGGCTTTGGTGCAACCAAGCATTTCAAATATGGGCGACGTAAAAGAAAATGTGCCGATTCCAATTTTATAAACGAAATAGCTTACGCGAATTTTACTTCGGTAAATCATGTCATTCGACGGCAGTTATGCAATACAGTGTAGAGAAAAATAATTCTTTTTCACATGTGATATTACATATCTATTATATTCTATATTATAGATCTTACATCGCGCAAAAAAGTTATATAATATAAGTACTCGTAGATAATTATATATTAAGGCGGTATATTATCTCCCTTATTATTCTCAATATTCATTAATCTCATAACCCAGCACCTTCAGTGTACGTATCACCTGTACGCTGATGACTTACAAGTGTACACACAGACAAGGGTTGAGGACATAACATACGCTATCGACAAAGTCAACAAGGACTTGGACTTTATAAAGAGCTGGTCAACAAAGTTTGGTTTGTCGGTAAATCCAACCAAATGTCAAGTGATCGTCGTGGGGAGCAAACAAATGATAAGTAGGTTGGATATGGCGGTCATCCCACCAGTTGTCTACAACAATGTGACTATACCTTATAGTGCAGTGGTAAAGAACCTGGGGTTATATATCGACTCGACACTTGACTGGCGGGCACAGGTTACACACGTCGGCCAGAAAGTCACCACATGTCTCCGTGCCTTATATCGATTGAAGAACTTCCTTCCCCCTAAAACTAAGGCTACGCTTATGCAGTCCTTAATTATTCCCATAATCGACTATGGTGATGTGTGTTATTTCGACCTGAATGCAGACCTTCTCAATAAACTAGATCGCCTTCTCAATAACTGCATTCGATTCGTTTTCAATCTTCGCAAGTATGATCACGTGTCTGGTTTACGTTCCCAGCTGCAATGGCTCCCAATTCGTCAGCGCCGCAGTTTACGAGCACTGACTTCTCTCTTTTCTTTCCTCAACTCTCCATCGTTACCTGAATACCTCGTACCCCACTTCCGTTTCCTATGCTCCAATCACGATCGAAATCTTCGATCAACCAACAATATGCTTCTTCCATGCCCCCCTCACACCTCTAACTTCATCAACTCCTCCTTCTACGTCCAGTCAGTCCTCCTCTGGAATGCCCTCCCTGCCGAAATGCGGATGTCAACAAATCGCCTCGCATTCAAGAGAAAAGTGCGCGATCTTCTTCGGGGTGAATAGGGAATATGCGCGTGACCCCAAAATGGACAAAATATTTTTATTTGTAATTTTTATTGCTAAAAAAAGATACCCATACAATTATTTTTGAAATGTATGATAATTTAATAGTGAAATTTAATCATCAAAAATTGGCTTTTTTAAGATTCCCTAGTAAATTTCTAAAACGCAACGCTATTGGTTGAATAAAACGTGACGTCAACCTACACTGTCAAGAGTGTCAACAAGTTGTGTGTATTTGTAATATTTGATTTCTGGTGATTATTTGTTTCATTTTCAGTTAATAACTAATACGTTTTCAGTGATAAATTATTAAATTCCCGTGTAGAAAGACTCAACACAATGACTGAATATACTTTGCAAGGTGCAGTTTTGATATTATTTGGGCACAAAGGAACGGCACAATATTTATAATAAGTTTTTATTGGCTTTCCATGGTAATAAGTTAATTATTATCACTCACTTTTTTAACTTTCAGACACTTTGTGAACTTCACTCCGTTGTTGACATCGAATTCGTCTGAAAGTGTAATCTGACGTCACAAAAAAAGCGCGCCAAAATGGACGTGTTCAAATTGCCCCAAAATGATAGTGATTTTAATAAATTTTTTTTTGCTTAATGGTTTATATTTCGGATGTGTTATATTTATTTTTGGTAATGTAATAACTAGTAGAATCGTTAAAAAAAATAAAAAAAATACATGCATATTCCCTATTGGCGAAATAGTTACAGCTCTAGTTCCCGACTGAGTATTTATATATTTTATTAAATTTATGTAGGTTTATGTATGCATGTGTGTTTTTATATTGTGTATGTTTCTGGACCTAAATTATGTTAATATCATATTTTATTTTGCACCTACCGCATCATATTTCTACATCACCTGAAGGTTGACTGGGAGAGAATGCCTAATGGCATTAAGTCCGCCTTTGTACAATATGTGCATTAAGTTTAAAATAAATAAAAAAATAATTACAACTGCCGAACATCAAACGTGGGCCGCCGCCTGGGAGGCATGATTAGTATGATACTTCGCCTGGTCGGAGGATCCAGTCTTTGTGTAGGAGGGACAGAACACCCATTCCTCCAGATTTCTATTTCGAATTGAGTGTGTGTGTGTGTCTGTGTGTTTTCTTTTCAATGAGAAAAATATTCCAGATAGTTTAAAACCGCCTACAGTATGCGGTCACTCGGCGCCGCTAATTGATTAAAACAAAACATCAACCGAATTTAAAGTAAGTAACGAAACTGTTTACATCGTTAAACGTCGTGTTATCATGTTATTTTCACGCTTACGTACCTAAATAATATAAGCATTTATGTAATGTATTTGTAACGTGCATTGAGTTTTAAATAAATATAATGAAAAAAATTAATTGAAATTCGTCTATGGAGACTTAATACCACTGATTTTAACTTTTTTTCGTCTGTGAGTGACAGTGAGCGCGTCTGAGGTAAGCGGGTACCGGTACCTATCCACCCTAGGGACGCTATTTTCAGCAGAAAAGTACTGTCTAATATACGAATAGTCTTCGGTATGGATGATGGTTCTTTCATTCTATAAGAGAAAAAATTGAAACAACATGGAGGCTCTTTGTATGCAAAAAAAATGTTTAGTCGCACTGAAACCATTTTTTTTTTTATAAAAAAGGTTTAATTATTAGCAGTTAATAAACATTATAATTAATGTTCAAATACAAGTCCTATTAAATGTCGAAACCACATCGACTTTAACTCGAACCCATGAAAACGAATTTCCGTTCGGTACCTTTTTACCCAAATTAAATAACCTACCTGAAGATGTAACGATAGTCTATAAAAAATATATTTGCAAGTGCGTTCTTTTTAACCTTTATCTAAAAACCGACCGATACGGCCTTCAAACCATCAAGAAAAGAAAAAGGCCGGCAACGCGTTTGTGACTCCTGAATTGCAGACGTTCATGGGTAGCGATAGTCACTTTCCATCAGGTGACCCGTCAGCTCGTCTGTCCCTCTAACATAAAAAAAAATCTACCTGATCCTCGCAGCATCCTCTCAAAAGGAATAATTTATCTAGGTTTTTGCAACATTTTTCATAGTTGCTCGGTGATGTATGTAGCATATACAGATACTCGTAGCCATCTTGATAAATGGCCTATCCAACGCTAAGAATTTTTCAATTCGAACCAGTAGTCCCTGAGATTAGCGCGTTTAACCAAACAAATTCTTCAGCTTTATAATATTAGTATAGATGTAGACCACGAAAATCACTTACATCGTGGCTGTCATCATCGGAATGCTTCTGCACCTCTGCACATATCCCGATGCGTATGAACACGCTGCACCATAATAAAATCGCTCTTGAATTCCTCATTATTATTACTGATGATTACACCTGCAAAACAAAAAATTTAACGAGTATTAGTCTCACTTTTATATCGAGTTCGTGGCAGCAACAATAACATTCTGAAAGTGATGCCAAGTTGGTTCGAATCTGTGCTTCAAGTGCACTGGGTGTCTGATACACCAAAAGTAATTTCTGCTAATTATGTGTGTTTTTAAAAAGACTACTACCGCACTTGCAACATAACTTGTGTCAGAGGGGACTTTAGGTACAAACATTCATAAAACGGACTCAAACAACACCCAGACTAAGAACTCGCAGCACAGTAGGAAGCGGCGAGGTGTCCGCTTAAACCACTGCGCCATCACTACATCCGTGTCTCCATTGCAGATTGATAACGTGTTTTATTTAAAAAAAAACATAATTTTATATCTCGATATAGCTAACTCTACTCTATTGACTGATATTCTGAAATAGGTATTGATAAATTACTTTATTTTTTAAACAATTTTATTTTAAGTGCTTGTTTAGGTTAACCAAAACCACTCTGCCCATAAAGAAATGTCTTTTAAAAAAAAACAAAAGTCTCATTCTTCACCTGTCCTATTTTACGAAATAATTCATTTTGAAAATCTCTTTTTAACATACAGAAAATGCATTTAATACCGTGGTTGCAAGAAATATGATGCGTCTGTTACCAGACCATTCATAGAATTATTCATAGATGAAACTGAAGATAGTAAAACTGAAACATTACTTTTGATTCACAATGGTTGATGCATACACCTAAATCTCAATTCAAGCAAGAAAACGCATAATGTAAAAAAATCAATATTTTCTGACCAAAAAATAGCAATGGCTGTACTTAAAACATAATAATAAAGTAAAATTTAGTGGGTACAGTGACCGGTGGACGGGAAGCTGATGAAATCGACGGAAACCTGCGCGGCAGACCGTGAACATTATCTGTTTGGTGCTTGCGATCTCTCACAGAGCTATTGGGGAAAATTAAATCTGAAGGGTATTCAAGAAAAATCTTATACACTTTTAAGTACGTGTGTGTTTTGGAAAATCCCAATCACTTATTGACGAGACAGTTAGCCTTTATCGAAGTTTGGATGAATCGAAGCGACGTCATGTTATTTTCAGGCAGTGCTATTTAGAGTTACCCAAAATGAGGACTATGAGGAAATTTGTATGTCTTTGATTAATCTAACAAGGTGTTCGATAAATTTATGGAACCTTAGTAAAGAAAGATCTACTTGTAGAAACATTATAATTATTTATATTTAACTAGGTGAGAACCACTCTTTCCTCTGTATGGTAAAAAATTGTAGTGATAAGCTTTAATTTGTACTATCAATGAAAAAAATTGAAAAAATAGTTTTTTTAAATTAAACTAATGGTTTGATCGACCGTTGACCACTTTTCTTTCTTTTTTTATCTGCAAATTTTATGGAGTATAAATAAATAACCCTGTCAATCGAGCATTGTTAATCCTTTCAGTTCGGCTTCAATAAGTTGTGCAATAATATTTTGCAAAACAGAAGATGTTGTGTTATGAACTACCTCCTATTAAGATGACGATAAAACTCCTCGACTATTGGTTATTGGACTTCCAGTACAGGGTCACTTAATGATGGTTTAAACTTTGAGTGAATTTTTCAACGTACGTGGTTTGTCTCTTTTATGGGAAAATCTTCAGTCAGAATTCGTTCTTTAAATTTAGTAGAAGTACCTAAATAATTAAGCATTGCATAATATCAAACTCCTAACTATAATGAGTTTATTATTGATAGTTAAACAATTTTAATACACGCCGTCAGGGGAATAAAACAGGACAGGATATGTTCCTCCAGTTCCCAACATATAGAAACAGTTTTTCGTGAGCCAAGCTTCGGGCAACGTTCTTGTGTATGTCCATGGAGGTTCTACTACACCAAATAACTTTATTTTCTGCAGATGGCGTTCAGTTTGACTTTCTATATATCACAATTTTATTATAAGAAGTAGACACATTCGTGGTAGGTGCTAAAGTTACGATACTGAAAAACATTGTGTCTAAATCACGCTTCAAAAGTCGAATATTATGTTTCTCTATTTCATTATCACACAAACATGTCTGTGTTCACTTAAATTGACAGTTAATAATGGCTATCATTTGATCCCAAGGCCTACATAATAATTTAAACCATTGTTACAAAAATAATGATCGACATTGAATAATTTGCTATATCGCAATGCCAACATTTATATAAATGTATCACTAACATAATCTATGCTCATTATAACGCCATGAAATACAAAAATGTTTGACCTTACATAAATATTTGTAACATTTTATTAATACAAAGGAAATGAGCCTTTGTTTCGTAACTTTGTTTAAGTACTGACAGAACTGTCATAACTGGGAATCCAACCACCAGGATTAATACGTTAGTTTTAGAAACACTATCAAACTCACTGACTAAGGCGAAGCAGAATACAAAAAAAAACTATATATAGACATGAACTGTTCAAAGACAACGCCGAATTTATTACACAAACAGAAAATATAAGAAAATAGAGTAGAAGAATCTCACAATTAAATTACTAAATACGAGTAGGTTTTAGAATGCACTGATAATATAATTTGACGATTAGCAGTTAGTTATTCGTGTCGTGAGTGTCTTGTCACATAATAACGTAATCACGAGACTGTCATCAGCCCTTGGAGACACACACGGTATCTTTATTATTATCCTTTCGTACAAGGACCAGTCTACCGATAAGTATCGTTAATGCAAGAGGGGGTTTCTCACACGTGAAAAAAAGGCCAAGAGAACTTTGAAAGCCAGATGAAATGCTGGGTATACTTTCTGGAACTATTTTCAAGTCAGTACCAATAACAGAGAGACGACTGTACTAAAAATTACGTTACAGAAGTGGACAATATCGGTAAGAACGTGGGCCATGCCCTTAAATTGTTGTAAATATTCTCTTTAACGTGAGGGATATTTCCGTAGATAGAAGAGGACATTTACACGCACAAGAACCTTACCCTGCAAATGTAAAACATTTATTATTAGGTACAGGTATTAAAGCCAAACATGGAAAGTTTAATAGTTGTACACCTTTTAACTTATCTAGACACCTATAGCGGGACGACCGTTTTTAAGTTCTGCAATTATACGTCATCAAAGAGTAACTCTTTCGTGAGAACACCGTCTCCATAACTCTTAAGGTGATTTGTGGAGACGGTGTTCTAACGAACGAACTAAACAACGATGGATGACGATTTCCGCTATAATTCAGAGGCTTCGTTTCACCACGTGCGTCACTAGACCCTAACACTCCTAGATATTCAATAAAAGTAAAGCAAACCGTCACAATCCCCGACAAAAATGTACAATAGCGCACGAGTATCCCACGGTATCACAATTCGGTGGTGTGTGACAGTCGTTCCGGTCCATAACACGATAGTTCATCGCATTGACAACCGTTATCCTAGCTATTGAACAAGTGACCTAGTTAAAGGTCTGTTTGCCCATTAACTCTTGTCAATTTACTCCTTTCAGCTTAGTGTGAACGGTTACAGTACCAAAGTAGACTAGTTATGGGCAGCATTTATATTCCTACGACAAGTAGGAACAATAGTGAGCTCGAGCGAATTATTATTAATTAAATAGATCTATAACTACTCAAGAAACATATCACACGCATGTCTACAACAGCTATATCTATGCTATATTACATCACAAAATGAACCGAAACGCAACTTAAGAACCAAAAAGTTAAGTTGATACATGAACCCGAAATCCAAGACTTTAAATATCCAAGATCACGGTAACTTAGTGTTATAATAAGCAAAGTATGAATTATAGCTTTAGACTGTGGATGTATTAAAGATTAGTTTTCTTTCCCACTTACAAAAGTTCCGTTAAATAATAATCTTACAGTAATAAATTGAATAACTTCGTTCTGAAGTGGTACGTTTCATGTTCTAGTAAAGTATTAAAAGTTGACATGCAAAATTGTCTTACCCATAAACCAAACTTCTTACAACTAAGTATTTAGGCATTGAAGAGACAATTTTGATTTACTTAAACCGTGCACGAGAACTAGTGCAGCAGTACGAATTATGTGAGGTTGTGTAAACAAGGAGAATGATAAACACATCACCTACTCAACTACTTTTCGGTCTTTGAAGAAAATATCTTATTCTAAATGTACATAAAATTGTTTACACCAGGCGTAGACGATAGTAAATACAAACAAAACTTATTTCTGTCAAGGATAACTTTAAATAGTATCGTTGATATTAAGTATAAGTAACTTTACTACGCCCTTTAGAAATTGAAATGAAGTGATAATGCCAGACATTGTATGTAGATCACTTTCTGCCAGAAAGTTGCATTCAACAAAACAATGCTTCCCTGCTTATGTCGTTTAAAATAATCAAAGTATTATTAACTAAATGCGCCCCGCGGTGTTAAACGCGGCTTATTAGATACACTAAAACGTTTATCCAACTAATTGAACAAACCACTAGAATACTACTTTTTTTTGGGTAGACTATGTGTTAATCCAGGGTGTCAGCTACCTCCATACCAAAATTTATCAAAATTGGTTTAGCCGTTGGTGTGAAGAAGTAACAACATACAAAAACAAACATTCGCCTGTATAATATTAGTATGGTAGGAACTGATCCTCTTCACTTTTATTTACTTTCTACCTATGTTTTAACTACCAACAAGTTGGCGTAACAAACAGATTTAAAACCTTAAATTATAGAAATAAAACTAAAACAAAGGCGAAGGGCCTTTGGTAGACTACAGCCTGTATTCGTATATCTGTAAAGTGCAGTGAAAAAGTAATTATGTCTCACTTTATTATTTTGGTATACATTTACTAAATCTGGTTTTGACCACAAAACTACCTACATATAATAGGTAAAACTGAGTAAAACTACAAGAATAACTCTAACAAAATTTGACTTTATTCAATCATGTATAACTAAGTACATGCCTAACTACAAGTGTTCAAATATATATAACCCACTTCAACGCAGCTACACCCCTTAAGGGTAGATTATTTTGTTTAAATATGAATGGGATCAAATGGGAAGTATACCTTTTAAAATTTTCCAAATTAATTCATAAATTACAGAGTTACAAGTTAGCTAAACCTATAAAAATAACGCCAAATTGAGAAAACTTATTTTGAGGTCGGTTAATAATAGAGTTCTATCTTTCCCACATGAACCACATTTATACCACAATTTAAATTATAACAAAATATTAACTAAATTTTACCATAAACACTTAAAACTGGAATAGATACTAGTTCTAATTACCAACAATAAATGTGCATTACTTTTTACCTTTTTTGATTTTACTATTAAAACAGTTATTATAATAAAATAACATATTACATAAGTATGTTTAATCAAACGTTGTGGATAGACCCATGAGATACAAACAAACTCAGAGACTGATAAATAAAATAACTTACTTCAGCATATTCCCGCAATCAGCACCTACCACCGAGGGACTCAGCAGTGCAATGACAAACTAATCTAACCGAGCATGGGCCACGCCACGCGAGCTTATTGTTTGTCCACACAATCAGACAACGTTTTCATTGTCAACTGTGAAAGTCTGTTTATAGCCATCGATTCACGGGAAAATTAAAATAAGTAAACAAAAGCTCAATAGTAAATTTTAAAGTAACCACTTACCCTTCGTTTTTAACAGTGATTGTTTTTATATTAGAAATCGTGACCCTCGACAGAAACTACTACCGTGGAAGAGTTTCGGCCCCTTCCCTATTCTTGGGGGGTGGAGGCTCAAAAAGCGGCAGCACTGACTTTTGAGGTGTAGTGTCCATGGGTGAAAATAGTCACTTACCATCAAATGACCCGTCCCGTCTCGTTTGCCTATTTATGCCACTCAAAAAAAAAACAGACATGAACAGAAAGTAACTTACGTTCCCTTTAGTTGTTAATACGAGTAATTTTACTAACTTGTCAATCAAATGATACATTTGTCGCCTTTTCAGTATAAAAAAATATAATTCGGGTCAATTCTCAATGGAAACACGTTCAATAACTGTACATACATTTTGAATAAACTCTGAACAATGTGCACACACGCGAACCGTGTCGCCTGTGCAAGCTCGGAGCACGATCCCTGACCATCGGCGATTACACGCTGATTATCTAACTTTTGGTAAAAACAAATAATGACGGAAGTATTTGACACATAATAGGACATTATAATTTCATTTTATGTATTGTTTTAAATGCACATGAGAACTGTCTACACATTTTTTTCGGCTTCAAAATATGTGACTTTTTACGCAATATGTGTTTATAATTGTGTTTAGTTCAATTAGATTCCGTCCATAATATAAGTACCTATATAAAAATGTTAAGTTGGTTTGTGTAGGCTTCAAAAACTCAAAAAGTTCTGCACCGATTTAGCACAATGTTTTAAACGAAATACAACACGCTTCAAAAATGGTTTTTATCTATATTTACCGTCACTTTTGTTTCTCATTTCTCATTAACGCAACCAGAATGTGCCACAGCGAAGTGTGGCAGGATAGTAAATTATAAAATATCATAGATCTGCTATCAGTCTGCTGGATTGCCCCTATAACACGACCGGCCCCTATCCGTCGCTCTCAGATAGCCTAAAGCGCCAGGACAAGCGTGGCGGTAGGGCGCCGTTAGAGTAGGATTCTCCGTACGTCATAGTAGGGTCACCTCGCTCGACAGGCAGCCAAGTCCGCCAGATTCATAGGGATTTCTTTCCTATGGTACACCTGATGCCCCGGCGATGACACCTAACGATTGAACACAGGGTTTTGTCGATTCGATTCCGAAATACGACGTTTTCGTTTGGTCCCGTTTAGGTGACGACTCGTGAAAAGACTTGTTTTTCTGCTATGTGATTTCTGAACCTGCCTTCTAAACTTTCCTTTATCCTTTCAAAGATTACTCCAACACTCTGAAGGATGCCTGCCTGGCAAGGTCTTGTCAGACAACAAGCACAAGGAATGTCTGACTCAGGCCAACTACTCGTGAATGATATAATTTTTGCCCGGTTTGGAAATCGAACCCACAACACCAGCGCGGCATACATTCTAGGCGACTTTGACCCTTCTCACCTATCTCGTAGGTACAGAAATAACCTTTGATATCAGTTTTACCAAATGGACTACTAAGTATTATACATTTTATACTACATTAATACTTCTAGACTGTGTGTAAATAACCTTGATTATGATAAATGAATGTGGAATTACCAGAAACGACCATGCACAAAGACGTTTTATTATAAATCTAAAATGTACTATGTCTGTACACATTTGTTTCTATTTACATGCATCTAGATCTATAAAGAACGTGTGCGTGTGGTGACAGATACGGAGTTAAAAATACAGAAAAATACGGAGTTTATTAATCCCTTGAGTGTCGTAAGAGCCGACTAAGGGAGCAAACTAAGCAGGACAACAGCACTGCAAAGAGAAGGAAAATGAAACAAACCATATACCAACCCGTCTGGCCAGCGTGGTATAGTAGGCCAAAACCTCCTTTCTAAGGAGAGGCCTATGTCCAGCAGTGGACTAGTATAGGCTGTTGTTGATGATTATTGATGAAAGGGCGTAACCTGTAAATAACACGCCTTATATCACGCATTAACGAACAATTTCTAATGCCCTTTAGCTTCGATAGCACTGCACTTAACTGTGTAGTACGTTTCCCCCGCCATACAAAGATGGCATTATAATAAAAATACTGCGATTGTGGTATTAAAAAAATATATTTGGGCATCATGACTGCCTCGGTGGCGCAGTGGTAGTGTATGCAACTGCTGTTCTGAGATCTCGGGTTCGATTCCCGGGTCGGGCCAAACGGGCCGTTTACAATATGCTCTGCAAATATTTGTTTCGGAGTTTGGGTGTTTTCTATTAATATGTATTTATAATTACAAAAAATAAAGGATATTAGTATCCTATCAGTCAATCTAGCTTTCATAGTACAAGCTCTGCTTAGTTTAAAACTAGATGGCGTTGTGTGTTAAATGTCCGAAATATTTTCATGATCATATTGTAAACGGAAGGACTAGGAAATAAGACGAAACATAATATATAAAATTTTAATACTATATTGTTCAGTTTTAAAATAGCAATTAATAAACTTAAATGCACTCCATGTGTATTAGGCGAAACATATGATAAATAACGAGAAAAATACGTAAAATAGTTATTACATTAAAGTGATGGAACTATTAATAAGGCGTCTGTTAGCACTAAATTATACCAAAGGCTATCTAAACGTACTGTGTGTGTGTACATAATTTCACGCCTATACTAATATCGTTTAATACATTTCTTCTTGAACAAAATCAATATTAAACTTCCTGTAATTAAACATTCAAAAAACCTGTTTTCATCCTGAATATCTTTCCTCGGTTTCTTTGTGTCTCTTGGCTCCTTCATTTGGGTAAAGATGATTCTAGCAGTATCAAATTATGCTATTCTATGTTCTCTACAACCATAAAGAATACACACTCATCCGATACTTCCAGCATAACCATGAATACTCAAAAACTATTGGTTTCGATTTGCTAAAATAAATTACTACCTGTACTTGTTTGAAATATTAAAAAATGACTTGAACTTCAAAGGAGTTCAATGAACTTCAATGACTTGAAAAAAATGAGTGACTTCTGCGGTCTAGAATTCTCACCGCCAACCAAATATGTAGGCAGATTAACAATGACTTGCACATTTTATCAAAAATATGAGTTATTATGTATTACAACTATTGAATTATGTTATTGATTTTGTCCAAGATCAGTTTTAAGATTAATTGTAAATAGTTAACTAGCATTATTCTTGCATGTTGGCCATTTGGGAAGGCGTCGCGGGTTCGTTTCCACCCTTCTTTTTGGATCCTGAGACAATGTCGTCGATTCTGAGAAGGAGGATTGCTGTTTCTACCGCGGTTTTGTAAACCTGGAAGAAGAAATGCAACTTCGTAATGTTTTCATTTAACAACAATTTGTTCATAAAATAATATGCGAGAATGGAATACAACTTGGGTGGTAATGGAATATGGGAGATACATATTAAATTAGGATTTCAACAGAAAAAAAATTGAGGCAGAGTACCCTACATAAGGCATGATGGTGATATAATAATTTATGACTATCAAAATGTGATAATTATATGCATAATTAATACTAATGATAATTTCATTTGTTTACAAGTCAAGCGAAAGTTAATAAACGGTACACGTTAACTCGTATTATACCAAAATATCGATAGAACATTTATTTTATTTATCTCAATTAGTATAAGCACGTCCGACGAATATTTGACATAGATATGTGTTGAGTGTAAATACACTGTAATTATTTTCAATTAACTACCAATGTCCATAGGTAAATAACGAATCGAAACAAACATTTTACAAATACAAAGTAATAGAAATTTAGTCACGTATCGGTCTTCAACAGTAAAAAAAAATATGTTATCCTGTATATAATAAAATAAATTATAGGGAGGATCGTTCAAATAGTTTTGTCTCGGGTCCTTAACTTTTGTCGGAACACTGTGTGGCATTACTGAGTTCTATACCGACAGCTCGATCTTCGCTTTCTAATCTACGTAAAAAAGTTTGTTGGGTCAAAGTAAGACATGATTCAGTTGGCTGTACCTGTACAAGTATTTATTCTTTGAAGTGCGTACTTTCTTTATTATTATTTTTTGAAAAGACAACTCCTGAATAAGGAATATATCCTGTGTCGCGGGCACTTTACAAACATACATGAAACGGACACAAAACACCTAGACTAGAAATAACAATTTATGGATCACACAACGTATCGTCTTATGTGAGGATCGAACTCGCAATACCCAGCGTAATAGGAAGCGTCGTGGCGACCGCTTGAATCACTACGCCATCCGTGCAGTCTGATACGGTATACATGCGTACAATTGTGATATCGAATTTATAAATCGCGAAATAGATAATGGGGTTTGCGGGGAAATTTTAGGTATTATTGGAGTAGATCAGTATCGAGGCGCGGTGAAGGCATGTAGTGCACGTGCGTACCTGCAGCTTGACGGCGAGCGGCTCCCAGATGCCCTTGGCGGCCATGTCGACGATCTCGCCGGTGTCGCCGTCGATGCCGGCCGAGCTGGCGCCGGCCGCGTGGCGCGCGCGCAGAGCCGTGAGCGTGCGGATCGTGTTGGCGCCGCAGTTCTGAGCCAGCGTGCGCGGGATTATCTCTGCGGGGAACATACGGTACAGACAAACCACACACTACCCTACGCAGATCTATCGGTTTCAGAAATAGCTAGGAACGCTCAGAAGATCCATAATGAGGGCTTCAGACAGATGGGAGAGTACTCACCGAGCGCGTGTGCGACGGCGCGGTAGGGCGTGTTGTGCGCGGCGTTGGCGGCGAGCGCGTGCGACACGCCCATCTCCACGGCGCCGCCGCCCGCCACCAGCCGCGGGTTCAGCACCTGCACGGAACATCACATACGTCTTAAGGCGAATATGGACGCGAGACATGTGTCGCACCTCGCGACGCATGCCTCCTTATGCCGCAACGACGACCGACGTACGCTCAGGGCCTCAATTCTGCAAATTCTGCCTCAAAAAACGTAATATATTTTCAAATTATAAGGAAATGATTTATTTATTTTTCCAAATATGGCAATCTTTTTGATATCACACCTGATGAGCCACTGCCATTCCATCGCCACTGTAAAGACGCTGAGTTAGTGTAGACTACCGATATTTATACCGATGCCAATGGCCACTCGATGTCATCTCAATAGCGTGTCAGTGGTATGACAGTGGCTTTTTTTTTTTATAGGGACTAATCCCACCCACACGCCCACCACTGTAACTCCTGTACACCAGGATCCACAGCAGTGACCCACGAACACACCGAGTTATGACACTCGGGAAGTCCCAGGAAGAAATTAAACTGTCTTGGAACCCGCAACGAAATTAATCAGAAGAAAATTGGAGGAGTTGGAAATACAGTAAATCCACTTCCCTCCTTAGCAAAGCGGGAGACAAAATGAAATAAAATGGGCATACACCCTTTTAAACAGGGAAGCACCACGGCCACGAAATATTACGGGTCCTACGTGAGCTATATTTGATTTCTATAATATGTATGACAGAATCGCCTAAACGCACGGAAATTCACCCTAGTTGACACAAGATCCCCATAGTATACCCGCCCCAGATATCACCTGCAAGGTATTCAGCATTATATTACGTTCATTATACCAAAGACTACATTCCCAGAGGATATGATGAGCAGACTGTTCATAGTGAGAGTTAGGTGTTGAGCATTGACACAATGGTGACTCGACTAATTTAAATGAATAGAGCTTGCTCTTAAAGTTACCATGACCCGTAAGAAATTGAGCGACACAGTGATCCACCTCAAGCCATGTCCTCGACAACCGTTCGCGAACAGATGGAAAGAATTGGTAAAGATGGCGCCCCTTGGATGATTCATCCCAGCGTTGTTGCCATTCGTCTATGAGGTCATTATAGACATCGGACTGCTGTTGAAGCAATCTTGTAATTTTACCGCGATCCCGCGCGCCCAAAAAATCGCATTCCATGTTTTGTTGTCTTGAATAGTACATGGCTGCACGTCTCTGCACTTCGAGATCGACCGGAAGCACACCCGCCAGCGCCTACGGTCGCCCTATCGGCCCATACAGGTGCACCATAGCACATAGAACCTAAATAAGTAGCTCCGTATATGATCTTTAATGTATTAAATGATAGACCCCATGTCGCAGTTGATATCCTTGTCAATGCACAGAAACTCTTTTTAGACTTTTCATTAACTATTTTAATATGTTCGATAAATGAAAAGTTTCTTTCTAAAACTAATCCTAGGTAACACACTGAGGCCTTGACAGTGGCTTGGCGTGAACATAAAATAGCAGAATTGAGGCCCTGGTCGACTGACGCATGCTCGAGTCGACGCAACCGCATGCGAAGCACTCGCCTCCCAATGTGCGTACCTTCAATAATGGCGAGACATAGAGGCAAACCAGCGAATGTCAGTGCGTTGCAAATCAAAACGCCTTTTTCTTCTTTTTTTTTCAATAATTTAATAAATTAGAAAAGCATATTATAGCACGTGGGCTGGATGGATCCTAACATACACCAAATGACTCGATTAAGTTCATTTTCTCAGACGAAGCGTGCGTTGTGCTTCGTGCGCGGCACACGCCTCCCATAGTGTATGTGTACGTCCACAAGTACAGTTTGATATTGTGGAGCGTTTGCCGAAATACACTTTTTTTTTTTTTTTTTTTTAACGTGTGGAAATCCCCTCGGACCGTCACCCCTCCGGGGTTTGCGGCGGGGTGGTGTGTCGGACTCGGACCGACTAAAACCACACGGTGTGCCACTCTGCGCCTGTAACAGGAGGGATCCGGGAACAGCTGTTGTTAAGACATCCGGACCCCTCCTAGCGCCAGCCCGCTCCTGGTGCGGGCTCCGTCTCAATATTGTTGTTTTCCTCTCTTTAGGCGACGTCCGGCACACGCGGACGCCGCCCCCTCGCGGCTGGCCAAACTAATGCGGGTGGAGGGGAAACCCACCCCGTCCACCCGCGGCCACACTCAGGGCGGCATGAGGCTGTGGTAGGCGGGCCTCCGCCGCCCGGTTCGCCGGCGGCGGATCGGGTCCGAGTGGAGGTCGTCCTCCCGGGCCCTCTCCGCCGCCTCCTTCCGCGAGATTACTATCTCGCAGAAGGTTGCGACCGCGGTAAAACAACTGTCGCTACCGGCCATGGAGCGTACTACGGCCGGTAGCGAGAGATCCACTCCGATGACTGCAGTGAGGGCCCGGCGCTGCGCCGCCCATGCGGGGCAGACCGCCAGCGTGTGCTGGGCCGAGTCCTCACTGCAGTCGCAGTGGTGGCAGGCGGGACTCAGTTCCCTCCTAGCGACCGTGTGCAGGTACTTTCCGAAGCAACCGTGCCCGGAAAGCACCTGCGTCAGTCGGAAGGAAAGGGTCCCGTGCTGCCGCCCTGCCCACTCGGCGATGACCGGCTGGAGAGCCTCCACGGCGGCGAAGCCAGCGCGTGGAGTCTCCAGCCGGAACGACCAACGAGCCATCGTGGCTCGGCGAGCGGCTTCGCGCCACTCGCGCACATCCTCGGGCGGAGGGCGAAATCCGCTCTCCGCCCGGTAGTCAGCCACTCGCCGATAAACTTCGGCGAGCACTTCCGCCTCCAAATCCCACGGGGGAGTTCCGGCCAACGCGCACGCCACCTCCGTCGAAACGGTGCGGTAACCGCGTATGGCTCTGACCGCCATTACCCTCTGAGGGCGCCAGAGGCGTACCCTATTCTGGGCGGTCAGAGCCGCCGCCCACACCGGTGCACCGTACAGTGCCATCGACCGGACAACCCCCGTGTACAGCCGTCTTGTCGCGACGCTGGGTCCACCCATATTGGGCAAAAGTCGCCCTAGGGCAGACGCAGCGCCGACCAGCTTTGGAGCAAGCTGTCGGAAGTGCTCGTCGAAGAGCCACCTCCCGTCGAGGATCAGGCCCAGATATTTCATCTGGGCCCGAACCGGTACGAGGACCGAGTTGACCACGATTGAGGCGCCAGGGGGTGGACCACGACGGGGCCCATGGAATAACAGGGCCTCCGTCTTATCTAGGGCCACCCGTAAGCCCAGCGCCTCAATGCGCCCGACCACCAGGGAGACTCCCCCTGTGGCCAGGCGCGCCGCCTCTTGGAAGTTTGCCCCCCGGGCTGTCACGAGGGTATCGTCTGCGTAACAGATTACACCCAGCCCGGGGGGGAAATCGGCGCGAAGGGCCCAGTCGTACCCTATGTTCCACAAGAGGGGTCCAAGAACAGACCCCTGTGGAACACCGCACGACATGGGCCGACTCCTCAAATTACCTTCTCGGTCCTCGTACACGACGGTACGCTCCTCTAAATAGTCTGCCACCAGCCGCCTCAGGTACTTTGGCACCCCATGATAGTGGAGTGCTTCCCTGATGCAGCTGAATGGCAGACTATTGAATGCGTTGGCGATGTCCAATGACACCGCCAACAGCACGCCGCCACAGCTCACGGCCTCTTCGGTCACGGCCCTCAGGCGCAACACAGCGTCGACTGTCGAACGCCCCGCCCGAAAACCAAATTGGGCGTCCGACAGATCGGGGCCCACCTCGCAGAGGTGCCGGACGATGCGGGCAGAAAGAACCCTCTCAAACAATTTGCCCGCCTCGTCCAGCAGCACGATGGGCCTATAGGCCGCGACCGAATCGGCAGGCCGTCCCGGCTTCCTCAATAGGACCAGCTTCCCGCTCTTCCAGCACTCAGGGAAGCGTCCCGACGCCAAGCTAGCGTCGAACACCTCCCCGAGGCGGTCTGCCAAGTGGTTGAGGGCCAGGGCCAGCACTCGGGCCGGTACCCCGTCTGGCCCAGGGGCGGTGTTCTTGGAACGGATCCGTAGAACAGCCGCCCCTACCTCCGAATCCCGGACGGGCGGAACATTTTCCTCCCCGTGCTCCCCGTCGTCTCCGGCCAAGGAGGCCATCGCCGGGGGAGTGTGTTCCGCTCGTTGCGGGAAAAGGCCCTCAACCACTTCTCGCAGGAATCTGGGCTGGAGAGTCTCCGTAAGGGGGGGGCCCGACGCGCGGAGCTTTTGTCGCACCGCGCGGTAAGGGCGACCCCAGGGGTCACGATTAAGACCCTCCAGCATCTCCTGTCTCTTTTCCTCTTTGGCGCGGCTAATGGCCAGCTTCAGAGTTTTCCGCGCCCGCCGGTACTCCTCATGAAGCCGGTCCTCCTCACCGTCTCCACGGTGACGCCGCCGACTGCGTGTGTAGGACCTCCGGGCACGTGTACAGGCCGCACGGAGGTCCGCCAGCTCCTGGGACCACCAGTAGACCTCCTTCCTTGGAGGCCGACGACCTCGAACGCGGGGCATGGCCGCATCGCATACATGCGTAATCGCATCGCGAAAGCGGCCAGCCCCCACGTCGACCTCCTCGGTCGGAGCCTGAGGAGACAGCCACGAGTGAATTATGGCTGCCTCCTCTAGTAGGTCCCGGTTCAGCCTGGCAACAGCCCACCGCGGAAAGCGGGATAAACGCCGCGCCACGTGACCCCTACTGGAGTCCTGGGTCCGGGAGAGCTCAAATCGGATATACAGGTGATCCGAGAGCGTCTCAACCTCTTCCAGGACACGCCAGTTCCTTACTCGTGCGGCGAGGGCAGGGGTAGCGAACGAGAGGTCCACTATCGACCCCCCCTGCTGTCGCACGCACGTGTTGGTGGAGCCTCTGTTTAGAAGACAGAGGCCCACCGAGGCCGCCCACTCCTCTACGGCCTCGCCCCTGGCGTCCGTCCCGGGGGAACCCCACGCAATGGACTTTGCGTTGAAGTCCCCCAGCACAAGAACGTGCCCAGACGCTAGTCGCCGTATCGAGGTCTCCAAGCTGATTAGGAAAACCTCGAAGTCGTTCAAACTCCGGTTGGGGGAGAAATAGACACCATATATGGTGATCCCCCCCCACTCGACGGCAACATATCCAGTGCCCTTGTCTCTTAGCGACAAGGGCGGGGAATGAGCCGTCGTGGAACCGACGACTGCCACGGAGCCGTCCCAGTCACCCATCCAGTTTGGACGGGGAGGGACAGAATAGGGCTCCGCGACTACGGCAACACCTATCGACCACTGTGCCATGGTTTGCAGGAAGAGATCCTGCGCCGCGGCACAGTGGTTCAGGTTCGTCTGGACCAGGAGGTTGGAGACTTGATCCATTACTGGATCGTCTCTACAACCTCCTCCATGGGCGACGACGACGACGCACGTACTACGTCGGAGGCAGCCTGGGTCGACTGGCTAGCCCCCGACGTCTGCCGAGAACTGCGGGGAGGCTTGCAGCCTCTCTGCCCCATCTGGTGATTGGCGGGCTTATTGCCCGCCGCACACGCTGGGCAGTGAGGGGCGGCAGAGCATTCTGCCGCCTTATGCCCCGGTTGACCGCAGCGGAAACACAGTCCGCCGCAGTCAAAACAACTGTCGCACTTGACGCGCGTGTGTCCCGTGGCCAGGCATTTAAAACACCTCATCGGTCTCGCCGCCAGGACTGTAATCCTGGCGCTCACGAAACCGATGAGCAGCCTGCCGGCGTCGGCCAATACTTTGGCCGACGCTACGGGACAGCTGACCCACACGGCGCCAAGCCCTCCTGGACCGGGGCGGATGGTGCCGACCCTGACGTTGTCCGCGCTGCACCCCGTCTTCTCCCGGATTACAGCGCGGACATCTTCGGCCGTCACTGAGTCGTCCAGGCCCGAGATGCGCAGTTCCGCGCACTTGGTAGGCCTGGCGACCCTGACACCATCTGTGGCTGCAAATATTCCCCGCAGCTTCTCAGCGAAGGAATCCGCCGTCTTTGCGCCTTCAGCCCCAGGGAACTCGAGAACTCGAGCTCCCGTCTGGGCGAGGCGCATCCTGACCCCCACCGTCCCAAACTCGTTGGCGAGGCTGTCCCGGGCCTTCTTGAAGACGGCCGCATAGGACAGCCCGCCGTCAGCCGCCTCCGGGGACACGGTCACCACTACCGCCGCGGTTTTGGGCGGCTGCAGCTTCCGCGGCCTCTTTGCAGAGGCCGTTGCCACCGGTGGCGAAGGCAGGGCTTGGGCTGCTCTTTGGGCAGCCTTTTTGGCCCGCCTTCGGGACTTCTTGGAGCCCCTCGCCTCCTGCCAACCCTCGTTGGAGGGGGCAGGTGCGGAGGGGCCCGGCAGGGGTGTCGGAGTGGGGAGCGGAGGGAATGCCACTCCGCTCCTCGGCGCTGTTCTAGGCCCCGTCTTGGCCGGCGCCTGGGGATGCGCCCTGGCCGGCGCCTTAGCCGGTGCCTTGGCCGGCGCCTGGGCCGGTGCCTTGGCCCCCCTCCTCGGCTTTTGTGGAGCCGATGGAGTAGGGGCAGACGCCGCCGCCGCGTAAGAAACGCGGCCTCCCACAACGGGGAGCGCGGTCGGAGCGGCGGCCTTAGGCCGCTGTGCCGACGCGAGCGGGGGGCGCATAATCGGCGCAGGAGGCAATCTCGCCTCCAGGCCAGCCAGGCGTCCGTCCAGCATATTCCCAACTGCGATGAGGATTTCTCGCAGTTGGGAGTCAAATGCCCCTGAGTTGGTGGTAGGGGCAGGCTGGGACGCGGACGGGGCTTCCCGCTCAGGGAGGTTCGCCTGGAAGCGGGCGAACTGAGCACTCAGCTCGTTCACCCGCTCCGTCAGCCTCTCGTTGGCCACCTGCAGGCGAGAGACGTCGCCCGCTAGGCCCTCCACGACCTCCGACAAAGCGGAGGAGGAGTCCTTAAGGGCCCTCACAAACGAGCCCTTAAGGTTCACGGATTTGGTGGCCACCTTGTCGATGACGGCCACCGCCGCTTTCGCCCTCTCCTGCACGGACACGGGAGCCTGGGGGGCATTTCCCCCCACCGGCTCCCGAACCTTGAGCAGGAGATCCGCGATCTCCTCCTCCGCTACGGCCTCGCCGTCCACTCGCACGCTCCTGTAGGACTCCGCGTTTGAGAACGCGGAGCCTGACGGGGTCGAGACCGAGGCCGAGGCCGGTTTACGCGCCCTCCCTCGGCGGCTGCTTGCCACCTTTGGCGGCATCATTTCGCCGGACGTGTCGGTCCCCTCCTCCCTGGAGCGTCCGCGTTTCCTGCTGTCGCTTCGTTCCGCCTCCATGGCCTCCGTGCCATCCGACGAAACGGCGGATCCGGAACGTATACGATCCGATGCTCTTCGGCTCCCAGTGACCAGAGTCAGACTGACCTCTGGGAGCCCCATCGAGATAGGCGTTCCCGGCACCATCTCGCCCTCAGTGGACGACCCATCCACTCCACTGTTCCTGCTCTTCGTCTCCTTGTCCGTTAGGCTTGCCTTTGTCTGTTGTTTGTTTGTTTCCGATCGTTTCTTGGTATTTTTAGTTAAAGATTGCATAATTGATCCCACGAGTGGGGGAGAACTAAAGGTCCACCCGGGCAGAGATCCCCCATTACCCGGGCAAGCGTAAGTTTTTAACCCAACCGAGGGGTCCGCACGTACCTCGGCTTGGAGTGCGCTCGCGACTGAACTTCCCATCAGCCATGCATCCCCTGGCCACGCACCAGAACACGGGATTCGGGGAATTTTTTAGAGAGGTTATCTTCCTCGCGGTCCGGGCGGTTAAGCCAAGACCCTCGCCCCCGATCAGAGCCGCGAGACTTAACCACAGCGCTCTTCTCGGGATTACGATATGCCGACGGTTGACAGGGAGACTACGTCCCCCTGCCTGCTCGGTGGTAGTGTGAGTACACGCCGAGCCCGTCCTCCTTTCTCCACCGCTGTCAGCGGAGAAACTGTGGCCCCTACAGGGCCCCGCCATCAGGTTTTTTACCGAGGTTTCCTCCTCCATGCTCCGAAGAGCGAAGAGCCAGCAGGGCAACCGGCAGACACGCCCACCCTGCTGGACCAGGCCTTGCCCGAGAGCCGATGAACGGCTGCCTCTTCTGCTAGAATATTGGCCGCTGGCGATAATCCTCTCCTCCAAGAGGACAAGGAGGAAACAGTACCATCGCCAGCGTTTCCAGGGTGCACCACGAGGAGGTTTTCTAGCCCAGCACCCCTTGCCGAAATACACTGGCTCAACCTCACACTGCGTAACACATGCCTCGCCACGACTATGAACGTTCACACATTGCAAAGCATGCAATGAGCACAGTTCACTACACATGCCTCACAATGTCTGTATCCGCCTGTACTAATTACATATTTTAGTTTTCCCCTCCTGACCGATGAACCGCAATCAAATATTACTTTTAACAGCAATATTTGATACAAAATACTCATCATTCTCAAGACATTCACGTCAACAAAATTATAACTATTTCTATAACTATTTATAAAATTATTTATTAGTTATAACAATTTTCTACTTCACAGAAAACCATAATAACTTTTGCTCTAATGGTAGAACAAAATTTGTAAGTGCTTCATATAAAGGGAATACCTTTTTTCTGTAAAATTATAAGAGAATATTTTTTTATAACTGTATGTATGTATGATAAATAACTAGCGCCGCCCAGTGACACCTGCGTCTCAGTCACAAGTAAGTGGAGTCTGTAAGTAACCAATCTGTAGAACAAGTTATCGTCTGCGGTGTTTCCGGACCGATGCGACCTCCAAACATTCAAGAAAAGAGCGTACTAATTCCTTAAAGGCCGGCAACGCGCTTGTGACTCCTGAGCTGTAAGCGTTCATGTTCATGGCCGGCGGTAGTTGCTTTCCATCAGGTGACCCGTCTGCTCGTTTACCCACTCTTCCATAAAAAAATAGCCAGGGCTTGAGTCCTCCCCAAGAAACAAAGGATTTCAGCCACCGAAACCTCACTCATTCGGTGAAAAGCAACAAAAGAATTGCTTAACAGCGTTTTTTATGAGGTCGTCACTCTTGTGTCACACATTTGTGTCAAAACATGGTTCTACCGTGTAAAACTTCTTCTACTAGTGGCTTCTAAGTGTTCTTCTAAAACTTCTAAGACAAAATATCCGATCGAATATCTAGTTCAAACTATCGATGTGAGTGACCATTGATATCTGCAATTATTGCCTGACTTATAAGAAGCAAAATGACTTACCAAATTTTTAGCAACGTGAAGAGCGTCTTGGAGATTTCTCTCAATTTCATTTAGAATGTCCTTTGAAGCCCCACGTAATAGAATTGTACACGCCTGTAAATGATAAATATTTTTTATGAATATCAATAAACTTTATAAAATCAACTAATGCAAACACAGAGCAATGTCTGTAATAAAATTTATCATATTTTCACATATACACACATCTTTTAGGTAAGGGATGAGCTATAAAGTTATCCTGGGTTTAAAGCTCCGCAGAAGGATCCGGTTCTTGTTAAATCATCTTGGAAATTTCAAATATGCTCACTATAAACCATATACCCTTTAATGAATGAATGTGGTCGTTCAAGGGCCAAATTGAGTGTCAGAGGTCTGATAAGTGGCCGTAGATTGGCCTGTGGCAACAATCATTGACACGCGGGTCTACACGACAATATGAATACAGCAACTTATAACTAATAAATAATAATAATAAAATAGCTTTATTTATTCCACATAAAATAAATTACAATTATGAGTTGCTAATTATTAGTTGGTAAAATTGAATTATTTCATAATAAGATAATTAAAATAGTAATAATTATTTAATCATGCGCGTTTAATTTGTGGACCCCCTCAGGGTAAAAGCCTCCTCCAAAGAATTCCACTCTTTTCTGTTTTTGGCGGTGGTCATCCAGTCTCTTCCTGCGTAGGCCACAATCTCGTCCTGCCACCTGGCGCACGGGCGACCTCTCTTTCTAACGCCAAACGGTCCGTTCCATTTCGTGATGTTGATTGTCCATCGACTGTCATCATATCTCGCCACATGACCGGCCCACCTCCATTTTAGACTTTGCGAGCAGTGTAGAGCATCCTTTATCTTGGTAACCTTCCGAATTTCTGTGTTTCTTACTCTATCTCTCAGTTTTATATTTAAACAGCTCCTTTCCATTGCCCTCTGAGTGGTCAGTATTTTATGTCTCGCCTTGTGATCATAGATCCACGTTTGGCAACCATATGTAAGACAGGGTAAAATTGTAGTGTCTAAAATTATCCTTTTCATTTTAATTGGTAGTTGTGACTTGAGAATCTCCTTTTGTGCCCAGTACTTTTTCCATGTAATAGCTGCTCTTCTGTCTATTTCCTCTATATTTCGGTCTTTTCTAAATGAAATTTGTTTCCCAAGGTAAATGTAGCTCCCCACGTACTCGAGTGGCACATCGATCTGGTTATCGATTTATTTGATATATTGGCTTTAATTCACTGTTAGTCATGACTTTGGTTTTTTCTAAGTTCATTTCCAGGCCTGCATAAACACTAGCATTTTGAAGTTCGTTGATCATTATGTTGAGCCTATATGGGCTTTCAGAGAACACCACGATGTCATCCGCAAAGCGTAGGTGGCTTAGGTGAACTCCATTCACATTTATTCCCTGTTTTGACCATGGTAAGTTTTCCATTACATTTTGTAGGACTGCTATAAATAGTTTCGGCGAGATGGGGTCACCTTGTCTGACTCCTCGGTTGATGCTGATCCTGGTGCCCACTCTGTCTAGTTTTACTCTACTTGTGCCGTTAACATATATATTTTTAATAATGTTTATATATTTTGCGTTAATATTTTGTTTGTCTAGTGCTTCCCAGATGCTAATGTGAGAGATAGAGTCAAAAGCTTTCTTATAATCAATAAAAACGATGTAGAGGGGTTTTCTGTATTCGACATACTTTTCGATAACGTGTTCTATGGTGTGAATGTGATCTATAGTGCTAAATCCACCTCGAAATCCCGCTTGTTCCATGGGTTGACATAAGTCTATTTGTGAAGATATTCTGTGTAGTAAACAGGATGCGAAGAGTTTATATAAGCAAGACATAAGACTAATCGGACGGTAATTTCTAATGTCTTTAGGATCTCCCTTTTTATATAACAAAATAATTTCCGATTCTGTCCATTGCTGCGGTACAGTTTCTTCTTCGAGTATTTTATTGAACAATATTGTAAGGGGTGTTAGTAAATGTTTTCTGCCGTGCTTGATGCATTCATTACTTAAACCATCTGGTCCTGGGCTCTTATCTGATTTTAATTTATTTATTTGTTTTAGGATTTCCATTTCACTAAAATTTTGTACATTCGATGTGTTTTTTAGTTGATCTTGTTCTTTGTTTTCCACTGAGTCTGATATAGAACTAAAAAGGCTTGTATAGAAGTCTGTGGCTATGTTTATAATGTCATTTCGTGATTTACAAATTGTATGCCCCCGCTGAAGAGACGGGACCCATTTTTTTGACCGATCTAGTTCTTTGTGTGCCTTTTTTGCGGATCTTGTTTTTTCTATACATTGTTCCAGTATATGTAGTCTATGATTTTCATAGCATTTTCTGATCTTTTTATTTGTTTCTTTATATAAGTTTTTTAGTTCATCTTTATCCTTTTTAGTAAGAATTCTTTTATTTTGTAGTAAGCTTCTCTTTTCCATTAACTGAATTACTTCTTCTGATAGAATGTTTCTTTTACTTGATTGTGTTTTGTTGATTAGACTTGTTAATATAGAGTTTTCGATCTTTTTATAGTACTCCATGACTGTATATCTTTCGTGGTTTTCTAATAGTTCAGGTATAAATTCATTTAATTTATTTAAGTACATGTCTTGCTCTTCTATAGTCTTTAATGAGTTTCTCGGACTGGTGAAGTTTCTTCTGCTCTGTTTTTTCGTACTTAGGCAAAGTGTCGCTCTCAGGAGTCTGTGATCTGTGCCAAAGGAGAAAGAATTCATCACTTCGTAATTTGAGAACAATTTAGGTTTAGTTGTTGTTATATAATCAATTTCTTTTCTAGTTTTTTTGTCGGGCGATATCCAAGTCCATCTTCGGTTAGTTTTTGATTTAAACATTGTATTTATTATTTTTAGATTATGTTCGTACGCGTACTGAATTAGTCTTTCTCCTCTCTTGCTTCTGTTCCCAAAACCGTGAATGCCTGTTACTTTATTCTCATAGCTCTTTGGTTTGCCGATTTGTGCATTGAAATCGCCCATGGCTATTATGTATTGTGTATATATCATATCATGAGCTTTTTCTAAATCATTGTAGAATTTATCTATCTCTTCTTGTGTGGAGCCTTCTGTTGGTGCGTAAGCCTGTATAATTGCGAAGTGTAGTTTTCCTAGGTTTATTTCTAATATACAAACCCTCTCTGATATACCGGAAAACTTTAAAATGTTTTCTTTATACTCTTTTTTGATTAGGAAACCTACGCCATATAGACCCTTTGTTTGTCCTATATAGTACATAATGTAATTTTCGTCTTCTATTATATTTTCACCTAGCCGTCGCACCTCGCACAGGCCCAGAATATCGTGTTTTATGTTACGAAGAGCTGTCTTCAGTTCTAGCAGTTTTTCAGGTGTGGATAGTGATCTTACGTTGAGGGTACAAATATTTATTATATGTTTTACTCTTAATCCATTATTCTTTGGAGGGTTGTGGTCTATTTCTCCCGCGGTGACCAGCCGAGTTGGGAGATGAGGTAGAGGGCCCGACTGTGGTTGCTATGCTAAGTTGGGCTGGGATGTATTTGCTTGTTCTTGAGTGGTATCGGTTCGGGTGTAGTTTAGTTTCGGTTTTTGAAGTATATAATCTCTCATATTGGAAGCTTTATTTTTCTTCGATGGTTGTTTACTATCGTATTGAAATTTATGGCAGCCGGAGTGCGGTGGTATTATCTCCGGGGATTCAGACATGTTCCTCTTATTCATTTGCTGGCGATGGTTGCTCTTATTGTTATTCAATACTATAAGTTTATCGTATTTTATAAAAGCAGTGTTGCCTGCTTCTTTTTCCTTCTGTAATTGAGGTTGTAGTTCCTTGCGCTTGTTCAAGATTTCCTTGGGGTAATCTTCTTTTATATAGTATGACGTATTCTGCAGGCAAGATTTGTTTTTCAGAATCTTCAGTTTGAAGCCCAATGTAGAAAATGTTATTACAACTGGTCTGAATTTTTCCCCTTTTTTCCCTAGTCTTCTGGTTGCTTCGATGTGTGTGTTCTTATAACTATAGTTATGAAAATAAACAGATTTTGTAAGGAATATTAATCGCATCCTACACTCAACACGGAGTATAACACCCATAACTAATATCCACAAGATCCACAAAATCGAATCGAACCAACACCAAGCACATCCTATTGCCTTAAATTTAATAAATGTTACACATTTAAATAACGGTTGGCAAAGCAGCGCGGCGCAATTTGATGAAAGTTGAAGAGTAACAAATTAGTAAGGTTAGACAGTAAAGAGAGTTTTATACTTGGAGAACACAATAGTAGGGGACAACACAAGAAAAGATGCATGGAGTGCGTTTAATTATATGACGACTAAGAGGATATGACGAATGATAGATAATAATAGAAGAAGCAAACACCCTGCGCCGGCTAGAGGTGGAATATTTTCTCTATATTTAATTGATGAAATGGCGAAAATACCATCCTTACTTATATTATAAATTTGAATGTGAGTTTGTTTGTTTTCTTGATACACTTTCACACCTAAATAAACCGATTTTAAAAATTCTTTCAACAATGGATAGTTACAGTATCAAGGAGTTACATAGGCTACTTTTTACCGTGACAACCGACATACGAGCGGAGGATATTACATTACAATTATTTTTTTTGTTGAACCGAGTACCTCCTTCATCCATTTTAACTCGGTTACAAACAATAATTTACTTGACATCAGATCTTTAATTAATTTGCATTTACAGTTAGAATTTGTATTTTTATTTTTCTTAGTATTATTAATTTCTGTTGTACAACATTTACGGAGGAACATGATATTTTTGTCGTTAATCTGTAAACAATGATGTGGGTCACATGTTTATAAATTTGGTTTTTAATTGTTATAATCTATTTATAATCTGACATGTTGTTCTCTAACATGTTCCAATAAATAAATAAAGGAGCTCACCTTAGGGTTCTTGCACTCGGTGACGAAGGTGAAGTACTCGTCGCCAATCTTCTTGACCTCGAACTTGCCGGCGCCGGTCCCCACGTCGGACTCGCGCAGCTCCTCCGTGCGGTTCACGATGGTGGCGCCACAAGCGCGCGCCAGACGGTTGTTGTCAGTTTTACGGAGCCTGAGCGAATAACATAAATATTAAACATCTTAAAATGATGGAACACGAAGCTACTTGTACATAATACTCGTACTACGCGGAAACAAACCAGATATATGAAATTACCCAATCAGAAATAGGAATTCTTCTGAGCTGGGTAATGACTAGTCTGTAACCTAAAAAAGACGTTTACACAAAACATCCACATTTATGTTATTATTTAAATTATTAAAGAAACACTTAAGTAGTTGTTGTTTCATTACAGCAATGTAGTTCTAGGCGTGTCAGCAACATAAGTTGCATATTATTTTCAGCTTGTGATGGGATATTTTGCTGTAATACTGTTTTTAATATACCTAGGACGACGCAATAGTGATTTAATCCTCTATTCTCTTTAAAACTTTTTTGTTCTGTCAGCTGTTTTCAGGTACTCCAAATGATTCTATGTAATAACAGCACACAATAAGGAATTAAACAAATTTCGTCTCAAGGTATGCGGTAGCACGACCAGCCAGGGGACCTAACCTAACAAGGTTGGGAAAAGATTTGATATCGCCAAATTGAAAGAGCCTGACACCCGTACCAAGTTCAAGTTTGAGCTCCATAATCGTTTCTCCTTCCTCAACACTGACGAGAGCTCCACAGATAATGAGCGGAACCATATTAAAATGTTTTACACAGACACCAGCTCTCTCGTCTAGGGGCACAACGCACACTACTGTGAAGACTGGATGTCACAACTCTCATGGCAGTTTATCAATGACCGAAGAGAACTACATTTGAAACTTCTGCGATACGGCGACGATCACCTACTTGCAGATCTCAGACAGCAGCATCGTCGGATTTGCAAGGAAATCAACCGCGCGCGGAAATATAGAATAATGTGGGCTGACGAAATTGCTGATAATAACGACCCGACCGCGCTTGATGCACCGCTGAACTCCCTTGCACCACTGTACACGCAGTAATCGGAGAGGTATAACTTTGCTCTCAATATTGTCAAAGGTTTTCTGCAAGATTCTCCTGGACAGGTTGTCGGGGGCCGTCGAACTCTTATTCCTCCCAGCCAGTCACCCGTTAGCATCCATAGTTACTAACTAGCTCATTCCTGATCTCTACACTCAATTCATGCACCTACTAATACACATAAAGCTGATAATATACCTGCGAATAGCAGTGATGCCAGCTTTAACTAGGTAGTGTTGAGCTAGATCGGAGACTCCCTTCTCTGTAAACACTATGTCTGGTTTCAGCGCGATGATCTCATCACACTGACGCTGGACATGCTCTTCTTCCAGTTGTAAAAGTCTTGTAAAATCCTGAAAATAAAATCATAACAATGGTTAGTCAACTATAATAGCTGAAACACTTAAATTGTAGGAGATACCATACCATTTTGATAGACTCAATTTCAAAACACACATCAAAAACAAAACTCTAACAGTGCAAAACTAGAATGACCGCTCTTGTAGAGCAGCTCGGCTCTGGGCCCAGCTGTTTGGCTCCAAGCGCATCTACTTTAACAGTGCTCTGCCTACCTTATTTCTTCTTCAAAATAGTGGAATCTGCAGAAGTTGTATGTAATAATTAGTTACGACGTCGTATCTAGCTAGTGCCAAATCATATACATTGAATATTTTAATTAAGCCAAAAAATAATAGGAAACTTTCTTTTAAATATAATATTAATTTTGTGACAGCTGTTAAACAATTTAATCATAGCAAACTAATCTATTGCTTCAGTAATGACAACCCAGAGTGAAGATAAAGTCATAGATACACAACCAATAAGAAAGAATGCTAATAAACTCACCTGTTCTCCCAAGATTTCAATGTTGGTCTGACTCTCTCCTTTCTTATATTCAAGGGGGCAGTCCAGCAGGATGATCCGAGGATTCTCGATATAACGCCTCATCTTAGCGTGAGTTACGTCCTTGTTGAACATCACGCCACTTAGGACCTTCGACTCCTCAATTGTACCACCAGGTATCTTCTCTACTTTTGCATAACTACAAGACAATTAATCGTAATTACTCGTTTTAAAAAGTATGAGTTTGACTGCTGACAAGTCAATATATTAGGCACAGGTATCCATCAGACTGTACAGATATATTTTTGTGCCATGGCCTATAAGCATTTTATGTGTTTAAATTATGACATTATATTAGATTATAAAGCTTTAAATCAAGTAAACATTCTTGAAGTTTCATCATTTTTTTAAATATTAATTGGAATCATTCATCTTATTACAAAAAAGAATTATACCTATAATCAGCAAAATAGGTGTATAAAAGCATTCAATCAAAATACTAAGAACAAGAAATTACACATGGTAGTGCCTAATAATTGCAATAATAATAGTGATGAATTACTTTTTGATATCAACTTCAACTCTGCCATTTTCATTGATTGTGACAGTACTGACTGCATCCAGAGCAATGTCTACAGCAAGGTCGGCCCAGCGACCAATGTATTTTGTTCCGACACAGGAACGAATCTGCAAACAAATTGAAAAAAAAATTATAACAAATTATTTATTAAACATTTTTACATAATTATTATTATGTATAAATGACAGAAAATATTTTTCTTTTAATTAATTGATAATACATTCTTCAAGTGAAACAAAATTTAACTTATATCATCTTTCTAGTAGCTATTGTGTTTAGGTATGTTATGTTAAGCTAGAATTTCAATTGCGACTTAGACGTAATCCATTTCTTCTTATTATCAATAAATTTTTTTACATTTCAGAATTAAGAGTATTCAAGCCAGGAATGTGCACTCCAATGGATACCAGGCATGTGAGAGGAATACGTCCCATAAAAAAGTTAGAATAAGTCAGAATCAGACAGTTAATTGGCAGTTCCAGTACATAGATCCTTTGGAGCAGATAAGAAGAAACTCCTAGAACACATTTTTCAACAAATTTTATTTATAATTGCTTCCTTACATACTCTACAGAGAAAGTTAAGTGTGGTGACAACAAAGCATAATGTTCTTACATTAGAGTCCTGAAAATCACTTAAATAAAATAATAAACATAAAATCTATACTAATATTATAAATCTGAAGAATTTGTTTGGTTGAATATGCTAATCTCAGCAACTACTGGTTTGAATTAAAAAAATATTTTATTGTTTTTGTTTTTCTTTCTATCCATTTATCAAGAAAGGCTATAGGCATGCTACCACCAACATGAGCCGAGCCTCAGTGAAAAATGTTCCAAAAACAGGGAAATTTATTCCTTCTGTGAGACAGACGAAGTTACGCAGGTCAGCTAGTCATTGATAATTCTGTCTGAAAAAAAGTAATAAATTATTCATACTTACAACATCCTTTAACTTCTCTTTGTCATTCAAATCAATAGGGACAGATATTTTGTCCTGCAGCAGTTTGACAGCATCCTCTAATGCCTGACGGTACTCTCTGATTATTACTGTCGGGTGAATGTTCTGCGCAAGGAATTGTTCAGCCACTGCCAACATCTCACCAGCCAGGACAATTACTGATGTTGTGCCATCACCGACCTATTGAAAAATATAATTTACTGTGTATATTATTACTTGATAGCTAAAAGATAAACCTACTTATTTTTATACTTTATATTAGCTGTACCTATAACCATCTATCATGTCATGTCTATGAAACGGAATCTTACTAAGTCCTCAAAACCTCAATTAACTAAAAAAATTGAACAGTTCAAGGACTGATTGCTAATAAAAGTATAAAATCCTAACAGCTTGATTTTAAATGTTGTGAATATTAATAATATAATAATAATATCACATATCTCACGCATGGCCAAACTAGGCAGAGCCTGTACTGTATTTTATTTAAGTACTATAGTAACCAGACTGCTGAAAAACATAATTCTTAAACATGCATGTAGCTTACAGGTACCTATTTATAGCATTAGAGTTATAAAAATATAGTAAACATCTCCCAGTACTCCTCATACTCTTTTATTGTATGCAATAATTACTTCTAATTAGACTACTTTTCAAATAAAACATATTTTAAAAACTAATTTCCAAAAACTATGAATCTAATTTTGTATTCCTGGATAAGAAAATCATACCATTGAGTTGATTTTAAAAGTATCATGATTTGAACTATATAACATGCAACTTAATCAGTTCAACTAGTGTATAACAATTTACATTTTGATTTGTTTGCTGTCTTTGTAGGGATACAGAATAAATTATAAATAAAAAAGAATATACTTTATAAAATAGATATTTTGAATCAGTATCTATTTCAAACTCACATAAACACTAACAAGTAACAAAGAGAATCTGATTAAAAATTTCCATTTACCTATTAATAATTTTTAGTTGGTATATGGGAGTTTAATCGGCTTAAGGCATTTTAATACAGATTTGAGTATATTTAATGAGCGAATTCGGTATTATCAATACAAGAGCTGAATAAATGAATAAAGCTTAACCATAATGTTTCATATATTATGTTTTCCTACAAAGGTGAAAATTATTCTAACCTCTTCATCTTGGGTTCTGGCGATTTCAATCATAGATTTAGCGGCAGGATGCTGTACAGTGATCTCACGGAGGATAGCGTTGCCATCATTCGTCATTACAATGCCCCCCATAGGATCCATCAACATTTTTAACATAGCCTGAGGGCCGAGGCATGTTCGAATAACATCGGCTATTGCCTAAAATAAGCACAAATTTATAAGTTTTAACTAATGATACTTTGAGTTTTAGTAAAAATTATTGATTTATTTCAACAATTTCACTTATTCACCTTTCCAGCATTTATATTTTCAAGTTGAACCTTCCGGCCGGAGTCACGTTTTGTGTTTTGGCCTGTAATGGTAAATCACTTATGAATGAAATTCTGAGCAAGAACCATGAATTCGCCGTATTTTACGTTGAATACTTACTGAGCACTAAAATAGGTTGTTGGCTGTACATTTTGATAAAACTTAAATTAAATTAAATTGTGTGAATCAGATTTTAACTTCGAAGAGTCCTACGAATTTCAAGAGATTCACAAAATCGCGTGGTGACTAAAATGTTACCAGACAAAATTATTATGTCGTCAATGCCAGTTACAATTTCAGTTTATATTTTTAAATCTTCTTACACTAATACTCTTTTTTCAATTACTTATTTTGAGAAATTAAAGTTGTTATAAAATTATGTCTTATTTAATTACGTGGTTTTTAATATGTTACATTACTGTTTGTCACAGTGTGTGTGTGGCAATTAGAAACTGTAAGTAAAATTAAAAAACAAAACCAAAAAAACAGAAACTTGTTTTATATGATGATAAATTAAGAATACACTCTAGTGATCTCTCTATGTAAATACTACATTTATTGTTATTGATTTTCTTTAACAAATACAAATTACAAATAAAAGATTATGAAGCGACAACACTATAACTTGACAGATATTGCAAGGCGCGAGATTTAAAAAATTAAAAATTTGCACGGATCACATTAAAGTGTAAATATTTGAGTAATTGATACTGTAAATTATATCAGCGATAGAAAATGATAGATTATTGTATATTTAAGGTGTTCAGAATTTTCAATGCATGCACATTATATCCTGTAGTGACAGTGATTTCTCAACAATCAAGGTAATGTTTCAAGTTAAAATTAATATCAATACTTACGTCCACGGTACTTTAAAGTTATACTATTGTTTAGGCTTATGATCTATTAACTACTTCGCTGCCAATTTTTTTTAAACTGGCCTTTATTTAAACTTACTTAGAACTCCTTAATCCCATAATTTACCGTGTTTAAATTACGTGATTTATAAGAAGCAGGACACCACTGAAGCATACCACTGGGGTCTTGTTTACAGTCTTTTATTGGCAATGAAAATACCGCTGACTAGTGATGTATAACGTGAAAGAAAAAAATTCGTTGTGTTAATTTTTATGATAATGTTCTGATTGGTCGAGTCTACAAGGGATTCGTATCCTTTACAAAAAAAAGCAACTAAATTAATATATAAAACTTGATCCGATATTATATAATCACTTTTCATTTTTTCATTGTATCTTTCTTTGTTTTACTTCATCTGCTATCTTTAAAGCAACTTTGGGCAACTTCTGGAAAAGCCTTTTTTAAATGGTCATGCATGCAGGCCGATTAACGTATAAATTTTTTGTTAGAACTTTATTACGGTGTTGTCATTACGGTGTCTCATTTTTAATTATATAAAACAGGAGTGAAGTCACTGGTTCTGTGTTGTTGTTATTTTTTACAGTCACCAAACGGTAAAGAAGATAAGATAAGTCCGGTAAAGAAGATATACTGAAAACTCAAGTTAAACACACCGAATCTCTTCGAGTCTACCTATAAAAATTTAATGATTGATTCAATTTGTTGTGATTCGTTGTAAGGATAGCTTTAAAGTCTGGATTAATCTTAGGGTATCCTGATTCGAAAAAAACGGAATAAAAGCGTCACATTTTTTAATTATTTAATACATTTAATTTTCAAGAATATTTAACATTGTAGGAATACATCGTTAGCTATTAAACATCAAGTACTTATTTATTAAGTCAGTAAGGATATAAAGCTACTTATGCCTAAATATTTTATGTTTGATAAATGGATAATACACTGAATATTACCTAAATGTAGGTACATTTGGCGCCTTTTTAACCGACTTCAAATAAAGGAGGAGGTTCTCAATTCGACTGTCTTTTTTTTTATGTTTGTTACCTCAGAACTTTTGACTAGGTGAACAGATTTTGATAATTATTTTTTTATTTGAAAGCTAGTGCTTCCCGTGTGGTCCATTTCAATTTGGTTTAGTTCTGATAATGGCATCCATCAGAAAACCATATAAGTTCTTAATTTGCACTCATTATGTTCGCGACAAACAGACGAATAACTCAATATCACGCCAACCGATTTCGATTATTCTTTTTTTATTGGAATGGATGTACTTTAAGGGTACTTTGATGCGAGTTTGGTTACATTCTGATCATGGAATCCATGACAAAGTAATGGAACTCTTCAATTCTTAGGAGCAAATTAACGATACCCGGCTGAATCTTTTATAGGCTATCCGGATATTTGAGTCACCTACAGTAACGTCGTTATGGTCAAGTAATTGTTGTTATCAACAGCCCTTACAAGTCCACTGCTGGACATAGGCCTCCCCTTAGAAATAAGGTTTTGACCAGGCCAGGCCCTATACCAACGCGTCTGGCCACGCTGGCCAGACGCGTTGGTATAGGGTTTGTAATTTGTTTTATAATAGTGTTTTTTGAAGTCGTTTTTTTTTGTTAAAATTATTATGACCATTATTTTAATAATAATAATAACAGGCATTTATAGTACCTATTCTTACTCGTGTTTACTTGTATTTTACACTTCAATACGATTACTTTTAAATAAGTAGTATGATATTTTAATCAAATTTTTAGTCTTAGTTTTATATGACGTAAAATATTTGGTTAAATACTAGTTGATTTTAATTTTATTAGGACATTTTTATTGTGAATACGAATAGATTTACTTAAATTTCACCAAATATAACATTATGTTGTTTGAGTTCAGAATTTGTATAGTGATGTTTTCACCGGTTTTCTTTTTGTTATTTTTTATTATTATTTACTCTATTGTCTACACTTCTGATTACAAATTATTTCCTGCACATAATTTCCACTGCACTCTTTATTCCAGCATGACGCAGATACAATAGCAATCACGTACAGCTACGCACTTAATTAGTAAATATATTATGTATATAAAGACTAGAACATTGAGATCAGTTACATAATTATAATTTCTATAATGTAATTATTTACTTAACTTATAGTTTAAACATATAGCCAGCATTGAAAGTCCAAAAACTATAGTACTAAGAACTAAAATAAATCATCTCTTTGATATAAAGTACGATAATGAAACAATTTGAAATTGTCATGTCAAAATTAGAAAAATTATGTCTTAGCAATAAATTATTTAGTGTGTATTTTATTATGACCCTTTCGGGATATGGATTGTTGGTAAATACTTGTCTTCAGTAACCTTCGTTGCTCACTGTACAACTAAAGATCCAATACAAAACGTCATTAACAGTATTAACCTCGTAATGTAACAAGCATTTGAAGTCTAATCGATTATGTCGTCATCCACGTCTGATGATTCGGCTTTTGTATCATCGTCTTTGTTCTGCTTATTTGCTTTCATATCTTGCATATTGTGAATGTCTTCGTATACCTTCTTAAGATTCCTCATAATATACGATGTACCATTTATTTTTCCTTGAGTATTAGAGCTAGCATGGTCAAAATATTTTTCTGCTTCCACGTTTCCTGAACGTACCGGCACGGAGAAAGCCGACAAATGCCGAGGGCGTTGACCAAAATCTTTACCTAACCGTTTATCTAGACCTGACTCCTCACGTGGTTCTTGGTTAGTCTCCATAACTTCAGGTGCAGCTCGCTTCCGGTCATAAATGTGGCCGGATACGCGTAGATCTATAAAAAAATTTAGAGGATCAACTCCAAATTGTGGGTTGTAGAGAGGCGGGTACCACATCGGAGGTGGAGGTGGAAGAATTAAGTTCGACTGAGGGACTGTTGTAGCTTCAGTGTTACGTCCAACGCAAGGGGAAGGTTTAGGAATTTCTTCTGTGCCTACATCGACAAAGGAGGACTGCCGGCTTGGTGGCCCAGGACTATCGCTCGGTTTTGCTGGTTCAGTCTTGGGCGATAGGGTTGGAGGTGAAGTCTCGCGTACTCTTGAATGTTTCTCTACAGTTAACTCTAACGGCACTTCTGGCCGCATCTCAGGTTCTTTCTTTTCTTCTTCTGGCTTTGGCCACTCTCGTCTCAAGTCATTGTCGTTTTCCGCAAAGTACTTGTGTGACCGGCGCTTAATACGTCTTTGATAATGAGGTGGTCGGCAGCCGTGGCGTGCATTAACGAAAGATCTCAGCATTTCGCTGAAGAAAAATGCATGTGGTTGTAGAGGCAAAGCGCTGTATAAATAAGGTGGCGTAGCTGCTAATAGACGGGAGACTAACTCCGTATTTCTCAGATCCCGCACATGTGTCTTTGCTGGATTCTCATTAAGTGCTTTCTCTTCTTGTACGGAACTCATCCTGGAACAAAAGAGTCCTTTTTAAATATACGTAAATAGATTTGTAAATGAACGCCCTGAAGCCTGCCGGGAATCTCGCGATGTGAATGAAATGCAACTTGAATAGAGGGTGTTTAAAGCGTTTTATAGTTTTCGACTACGATATCGACGCTAAAAATGATTTAAATAAATAAATACAAATACACTTTATTATACATGATGATTCAGATATTTAATATACGATAATTAATATTTTACTGATATCACAGAAACATTCATGTCACATTTAAACTCCATGAGTTTTATTGTTTTTTTGTTGTTTTGTTGTTTGTTTATATGTATGTATTTAAAAATATATAAGTATGTTTATCAGCAGTCTGGTTACCATAGTACAGGCTCTGCCTAGTTTGGGATCAGACAGCCGTGTGTGAGATGTGTGAAGTTATTATTATTATTTATTTATTTATTGTTATTTTATTCATGCTTAAACAAATAATTTCTTTCACAATAAAACATTTTTTGTACCAAAGGTTCTATTTTTAAACTACATCTTCATTTATTAATATTGAAAGAAACTTTATCTTGGAGCAGTCGGTGGTTGTAAAAGCTGCGAAAGTCTGAGCTTAGAGTGAGTGCGATGAAACACAGCGGAACACTCGGCCGGTGATTATCGTAGCTCGTCCACGAACAATGCGTCCGACGCTATTATGTCTAAGTACTGCATTTGTGTTGATGAGATACCCGCTGTGGTGTAGGTACTTGAAAAGGATAAGTTTATACATAACTTTCAAACAAATTTGATAGCTGCCGTTCTGTTAGTTGTAACCTTATAAACTATTCGTATTAAATAATATTAAATGTAGGTACTCTGCATTAGGCATGACTCAATCTCGTATTTACTTGCACTTAGATTTGATAATGTTCGATAAAAATACTATATTTTTGTCGTATATTTATATATATGTCGTATGTTGTATATTTTTGTCTAACATTATCAAATCTAAGTAAATTCTCACCTGTTGACTTTTTCGGACAGTGAGCTCCGATTCAAATTTATATTATGCTTATGTCCCTACCTTTTCTAATTAAGCGTAACTCTCAGTAGTTTTATACTATTAGAAATTTCATAAAAGAAATCATTACTTTAACCGGAGTACTGTGCACCATACTAAACCTACGCACAAAAATAATCACTGTACTAGAGCTGTTTAAAAAATGGAACAAAACATTGTTCAATTTAAAACATGTCTACCGGTTTGCCGTAGCACTGCACTGGTGATATAGTGACGGTCTGACGGTTTACATTCGTAGTGTTGGTTCGTCTGTCGACATCGATTTTTCAGCTCATCGGTGTTTTATTGCCAATATTCGAATGACGATACATCCGCTTTTCGAGTTCGGGGCAGATTTGTTTTTGGAATCCTTTTTCGATGCGGCATTTTCTGACAGAATATAATTCGCAGCTTTGCTGTATGCTTTTTTCAGTTACGTGTTTATTTTTTTAACGGGTCTACAAAACTCAGACACGTTTTGAGTGTTTACTAAAACACCATTATCGAAAAAGCTAGTAAAACCATACAATTTAAAAAATCTGTGTAAATAACAAGTAGTGTAGTATCGAATCGATTTTTTAACGGTTCTTGCAGCGAAAGTTTTCTTAACATCATGATAAACAGACAAGAAGTCAGAGTTTGATTTTATTAACTAGTGAAAAAGCTCGCACGCATGAAATAAAGTATACAGAAGCTGACAAGTGCCTATCACGTCAATTCAAGACCCTTACCGAAAGTCTGATGTCGAAATAGGCAATAGGTTTGATAAATTATATTTATAACGAAAAAATAACAACAAATTGAAAACAAACGAAATACAAATTCCAACAAAAAAAATTAATGTTCATCACTTTCAAACATAACAACAATGATAGAAACGTAAATGTGGGAATAAGCAGCATCAATCCCAAATAAATCTGTAACCGTGTCGTAAGCATTTTCACATAGTTTTTGTTTTACTAAGGACTTAAATTTGTAAATACTTAATTGATGTCGTTTTGGTTCTTTCAATTGGTACGTCCCTGATGGTATTAATACTGAAATTATTCTAAATAACTTGTCCTTATGTTTTGTTATTTTTACAGGTATATTTAATCCAACTAAGTTCATTTGACGATGCCTCTTAACACCCGTGATATGAGTGGAATTGACTGCCTTCTATAAGCACCTCTTGATCACTGCAATTTATACATAATTACTGCCCCTCCTATCTGTTCCAGTAGATACAAATAGAAAACTTATATACTTATCTCTAATGGTTGTAATGCTATCAAATACATAATCACATGAGAAATTAATTAAAACCCCTAATCTATTAATCGCAACTTTACACAAAGAGTAACACACAAAGGACTTCTCACTAACTGTAGGATAGAAATTAAATGTCATATTACCATATCAGTAAGTTTGAAGTGAAAGCGATCCATCGGATTTGCGACAATAAAGAGTAGGCGTGGGGTGTGGTGGTACAGGGGAGGCTGTTCACAATAAATTCAGAGTGGTGTATCTCTATTCAAACAGTTGATACGGAGCGTGAAGCGGGATGAAATCTTACGTAGGTACGCGACGATGAGCAAACATGACGGGGGATTCACCCCAAGTCTGAATTCAAATGTGGGGTTTTTTTTTTTAATTTTGAAATCTGTGACCTAGATATTTGGTTAGTTTTACAATGAAACAAAAAGTGTACTTGATGGATATCTTTAACTGTTGATCTTTTGTGCTGTCTGACTAGAAATTAAATTTAAAAAAAAACACCGAACAAGAAACACACCTGCCTCATTGACGGCTGCAAGGCGTAGTGGTTTGTCTAACGAACTGCTACGCCAAAAGTTGCGGGTTCAATTCCCGCTCAAGTCAAACATTTGTGTGCATTAACATTAAATGTAATTTAATGTACATTACATGTAATGTACAAACATTTAATGTAATAAACTGATTTGGTCTGGGTGTTTCCAAGTATAATATGTACGTATTTACAAAAATTAAGTATATATCAGTTGTCTAGTACCCAGAGCTTGTGCTACAACCTCTGCTGAGTTTGGGACTAGATGGTGTGTGAATGTGGTAGAATATTATTTTTATTATTATTTAACTTCCAAAATAAATATTCAGACCCATAATCATAGAATTAGAGAACTTTTTATCGTGTTTGTAATGGATGTTTTTTAATGTTTGAAACATAAGGGAAAGCTGTAATTTCTAGATTACATTTTTAATTCAAGGCTACACTATCCCTTTAAGTCGTAGACATATTGTCTTTTCGAGAAAACCTAAAGCGTCTACGTCAAGTCTACGAAAAAAACACCAACCAAATTGAAATGATTATTTTGAAAACAAATGCGTGGTTATTTATGAATAGAACTGCGTGAAGTGTAAGCACTATTCATAACTCAAGTGACACAGTTTTATAGGTAAAAAGGGAAAAACCCCTTGTGCATGTTATATGGAAACATACCTAAATACGTACACTACTAATACTTCAGTCTCTTACATTACATTCAATTCAATGTGATTTTTTATAAAAAAACATAACATAAAAATAGACTTAACTATAACCATGGCTGTATAAATATAAGCCTGCACTGGCATCAAGCCGATAATCTGAATTAAACACACGAGTTGGTAACGAAAATAAAAATCATAGCCATAGTAAAAGTACATAAAAAATTCAATTAGGCGGCTCACAGGCGTCGCGTGGATTTTAGCGACAAATTCACTGTTAAAAACCACCGTGTTTAAAAATACTACGCGCTCAGAGCAAATGTGACCTTATGTGCTTGTAATAAGTATCTTCAAGCGGTATTGTGAACGGTAAATAATATGATTGTGGAGGTGTTTCGTCACACGGCAGCGAACGTTAATTTCCATATTAAAACCGTCACAAAGGAAACAGATTCAAAAACCGCTCCGCGGGCGCTGAAAGAGATTGTGGGGATTTATAAAGTCTATAGATGCGGTAATATTTAGGAAACGCAAAGAATGTTAAATTCACGGCAATTGCACATGACCTGAGGTCCAAAATTTCCAAATGTGGTTATCCACTACTAATAACTTTCTCTGTGGCTGTACAAGCTCTTTTGGATTACGTCAATAAAGAAAAACGCAAACAAAAAAGAGCTGTATTACTGTACTGGTTGTGATTCCATATTTTAAATCAATAATTTTATGATAGGATAGGGTAGAGGTCATCATTCTAGATGCTTCTCTAAATTAAGAAACTCTGTAGAAAGTTAAGAAGAAAAAAAAGAGAAGGATAATTTGACACAAGCCCTGTACCAATCCGTCTGGCCAGCGTGGTATGGTAGACCAAAACCTCCTTTCTAAGGAGAGGTCTATGTCCAGCAGTGGACTATTTTAGGCTGTTGATGTGATAGAAAGTTAACTTAGTGTGTTTGAAAATGAAAAGTATTTGCTTTAATTTGATTGAATTAAAACTCCTTTACACACGCTTGACTTGGGGAGTAAGCTGGTGGATGCGAGACGAGAGAGTTAAGTGTGATAGGGCGAGGCGAACAGGAGTTGAGAGGGAGATATAAGTTAGTCGTTAGAAAGAGAGAGAAGTGCGAGCACACATTTTCTCACTCTCTTTCTCTCACAGCCAAGAAGTTTTACTTCAGTCGTGTGGTCAAAAGCACACTCGTTTTTTATTTTTTTATTTATACTCATAAAAGGAACCATACGTATAGGCGCCTAATTTAACAGATGACCTTGTAAACAGATGATCTTATTAAAAATAAACACTAATATCCAATTGAAGAAATATAAAATTGTATTTAAAAACAAAATAGTCGAATTCTGATTTTATAAAATGTTCAAAAGCTTTTTAAGAGTATATTTCTTTTATAAATAGTACAGAAGGTTATCTTTTCTCTTACATTATGAAAAGTAACAATAAAGACAAAGATGGTATACAAGAGAAACTTGTTCACTCTACTCTTGTACGCCTTAGCAATGCATACATTTGTT